AGGCTCCTCAGCTATGCCAATGTGCTGATTGATCCAACGCCTGAAAACATTATTTACTTCTATGGCGAATATTAAGACGCGTTTGGAGAAATACAAAATTTAGTGCCTGGTACAAAATTCATACAAGGCTTGCCGGATATTATAATGGACAGTATCAATCTAGAAACACGCAATTTGTTCATCATTGACGATATGGTGGGTGAGAAGGACGGAGTGATTTCTAAATTGTTCACGAAAAAATCGCACCATGGTAATCTAAGCGTAATCTACATTGTGCAAAACTTGTTTCACCACAACAAAGAGCATCGCACAATTTCTATCAATGCAAGTTATTTATGTTTAACGAAAAATGTCCGCGATGCAAGTCAAATTACTCATCTCGCTAAACAACTATACCCAAGTCAAACGAAGTTTTCCAACAAGCTTATCAATTGGCAACGAAAGAACCTTATTCTTATCTATTTGTCGACTTAACTCCTACATGTCCTGACGAGATACGGATTCGATCCGGGATCTTTCCAACCGACACGCATAATGTCTATCAACCCAGAGTATAAGAATGTGGGAACGTGTGTGAAATGTTCATTTGATCATGTCTGTCGTTGCAGGAAAGGCAAAGAAATGGGTCGATCCAGCTGATGCGAGTTGAGGATCAAGCGAACTTGATCGTGAGGAGCCATATCACTCGTTAAACGATCGAAAAAGTGTTGGAAAGCACTGTTCAACGTTGTCATGACGTTTGATACCCCGTGAACGTCTAAGGGGTTGAATTGGACAGTGTAGTCTGTACCTAAAAACCGTAATACACTATTGTACTTACCAAGTAATAGCAATCAGAAAGACTGTGGCTGATACGAAGTAGTCTGAAACACTCAACATTTCATAGACAGCATCAAATGTCTTTAAACAGCTATCACTAGTTGAGCATACATTAATCATCATAACTGTAACATGATTACCCGGTAATATATAGTACTACTTGAAAAATTTAGCTACTATTCTAACCATAAGCCTTGTAAATACTAAAGCTTCATTTGAGAGTTATGGCCATTTATAAAAAGATGGTGAATAATTCGCCGGATAAGTTTGTACGGCCAGCTACAGATGTACACACAAGCAATAAACACGTTTCTTATAATAAAATAATCTATATATCCCACACATAACTGTTGTTACGCTTGAAAATATAAAAAAAGTTTAATGCGTACCTGTCGTCTTGAATTTTCTCACATTGACTTGTCTCGCCGATTTGATTGTAAAATACTCCTCTGGTCTTTGGCGTTTTGACGGGACGTCGTCACTGGCGTGCTTTCGCTTGCTCCCTTCACCAATCTGGTTTTCTGACGGTCCAGGCAACTGTTCGAGCACGCGTAAACCATCGTCGTTGACCCAGTCTTCGTTAAATAGGCGACCTTGATCATCGGTCCAATTATCCATGAAGCCATCAGCAACTCCAACTGGATTCTCACGTTCAATATCTTCGGTCATCGCGTTCGTCCAGAAAATAATGCGCTGTTGAAGAACAGCTTCTTTCTGCTCATCAGTGAGGATAAACGACTCCTGAAGAAAGTCGGGCTCACTTTCAGCCTCACAAGCCTTGATCAGATCTAACACATTAATCTAAAAAGTAAATTAGTCAGAAATTCAGATGACTCTGAAACTATCGTAAACAAATATTCAAAACGCTATGTTTCCTTACCGAATAAGCCATTTTAAAAACAATCCAACGCAATCCACCAGACAACACTTGAGAACCAGAGAAAGCCAGAGAACACTCGCCAAAATGCAACAGTGAGAAATGAAATGTGTGTTCGAAACACAATATTTATAATCTCTGATAACTTCACATTGTTTGGGCGCGTTACTGTGCTATGCCGCTAATTGTCGCGTTACTGTGTTGTGCCGCTAATTGATCGCGTTACTGTATTGTAATGCTAATTGTCGCGTTACCTGTCACGTTTTGCCCAGGCCTGCCTAGCAAAGTGATATTAGGCCTAGGCTTGCCCGCGTTAATTGGTCGCGCTACCTGGCGTTATAGATTTTAGAAGCTCATTATAAATTCCTCCAGAGTGTTAGCTGAACAAAATGACGTCATAGATTTTGCAAGGTCATTACAAATTCCGCCAGATGGGGGGGGGGGCATCACTATTCTGGCAAGTCACTTTTGTGTCTTAATTAAATAATTTTATTAGCTGAGTGGGATGGCTATTATTGTTTGCTTCATTGTGAAATAGGTAAAAAACAACAATTTCTAAAACCTCTCGAAAACAATTGAAAAGTAGATAGTATAAAAAGAACATAACTTGTGAAATAGACTTTCCTCAAATTTGTTAAATAATAGTATGTTTAATTCAGATAATTAGACAAACTCAATGACCAAGTCCTTGACCTGCTGTAATCTTAAATACCAATAACTAACCCTGCATTAGCATCGACAGCCAAGCTTCCAATATTGCTTTCACTGACATGGAAATATGTTCCGTTAGAGAGGTCAACATTACCCATAGCTATCGATTTCGTTTCCTCTGAATCCACCCAGAACATGCGTCGTCCTATCCAGTCTAATGCAAATATTTGTATAGCATCTTCATCAATCACTTCTTTATCAGAGCCATCAAAATTCGCTCTGTACACTTTTGTCCCACTTTTAAAGTACATGTTTTTCTCAACAGGATCAATGATCAAGTTTTTGATACCGTGACGTTCATGAACGACGATTGTTGAATAACTGGATGATAGATCAACAACTGCTATTCTTGTTTCACTGACAGCAAGCAGGTAAGGCTCCGGGAATGGACCTGGCAAATATATTTACTTTAGAAATAGATAACGATTCGCGTGCGTTTATGGTGTGCATGATGATGCAGGAGAGTAATGTCGGGGAAATACGAGAGAGGAGTAAAACAACAACATTATAAATTATAATAATAATAAACTGAGGAAACCTTAGACCGTGCATTATGGTGTTAAAATGGCCGTGTATTAGCTAGCGTGCGCCGAAGGACGAGAACGAACAAAGAGCCTCATTAACGGAACGGCCGTACAGTTCAGATTCGTTCAACTCAACGCTTTCGATCGGCTAAAACAAGTTTAATTATCATGTTCGTTTCTTTAGTTGAGATATCAAGTTCTTTAAATCAGCTGATTATGAATGTACTTTGAAATGGTGTGGTCATGCATTCCAAAAAGCTTCTGATTCAAGCTGATAATATGTCACCTTCCACGGGAAAACATACGTTAACGATTTTGCATTAAAACGGGTAAAAAAACGGATAACGAACGGATAGTAAACGCTTTGTCAAATCGTTTCAACGGATCCTCAAAACGTTTTAGACGTTTTGAGTAAAAAATACGAACGGATGAAGACAAAAAATTTAACGGCTCTACGAACGGCTTTAACAAAC